CCTTGGTTTAAGTTCATTTCTAGGATTTGTTGTTTTTGATGTAATGGAAATGTTTATGCTGGTTATAAAATTTTGGTTTTTGAAGTGAAAAAAAAAGTGAATGAAGGGTCACAAGTGGCAAAATATCCTTCTTTCTTATGGGTGAGTTGTATTTCATTACACGTATATATGCTGCATCTTCATTATCTATTCAACTATTGGTGTGCACTTAGGATGCTTCCATATCTTGGCAATTATAAATAATGTTGCTGTTAATAGCAAGGTGTATGTATTTTTTTGAATTAATTCTCATTTTGTGGTTGGCTTTATTCCTTTAATAACTATATAAGTTTAAAAAGCTAAAGGTCTAAACGTTCTTAGAAACAATAAACAGTACGTATATGTAAATTAAAAAATACATGTGCAGTTAAAAAAAAAAAAGAAGAAATGAGCTATCCAGCCATGAAAGACATGAAAGAAACTTAAAAGACATACTCCTAAATGAAAGAAGCCAGTCTGAAAAGGTTATAAACTGTACGATTCCAACCAAATGACATTCTGGAAAATGCACAGCTACAGAAACAATAAAAAGATTGTGATTTCTAGAGGTTTGGGGAGAGGGAGGGAGGGAGGAATGAATAGATGGAGCACAAGCAATTTTTAGAGCAATGAAATTATTCTGTATGATACTATAGTGGTGGCTACGTGTCATTATGCATTTGTCAAAGCCCATAGAATGTACAACATCTAGAATGAACCCTAGTGTAAACTATGGACTTTGGTTGATAATAATGTGTCCATCTTGGTTCATCGATTGTACCAAATATGCCACAGTGATGAGGGATGTTGAGGGTAGGGGAGTATACATGTGGGTGGGGAGGGCTGTGTGCGAACTCTGTATTTTCTGCTCAATTCTGCTGTGAACCTGAAACTGCTCTAAAAAATAAGTCTATTAATTAAAAAAATGGTAAAAAAAAAAAGGCCTGGTCCTTCTTCTCGAGTGATCACAGGAAGAAGAGAATTTCTTCTGTCACAACCAGACCAGTGGATGTGAGGTTCTGTCATGGAACAGACAGACCCCAGGCCCCAGATGACAGAGTTCAGCTGAACCCTGGCTCCTCTACTGACGACCTTGAACAAGTCATGTTACCTCCCCAAGCTTTTGTTTTTCTAATCTCTAAAGTGGGGATTAGATTCCTGACCTTCCAGGGTTAGTCTGAGGACATAATGAAGTTTTATGTTGTTTCGGACACTTTGTTTGCATGTCCATTCTCTCCCTGGATTTGTAAGCTACTGGAGTACATGGTCTGCTTCTTTTTAATCTTATCTCCAGCTCTCAGCATAGTGCCTTGGTGTGAAATAAATGTTGCAGAAAAGAATCAGAAGTGTATGCTGCCCTAAAATTAAAGGGGTCTGAGGGTTTAGATGACCAGTTCCTCATCAGTGGATTAAAGAGCTCTACCTAGAGGTTACATTAGCAAAACAGTGACCCACATTTCCACATCGTCATGGACCAACGGGTGGGAGTTCTGCCCACAAGGGGCCCTTGTACATGGCAGGGAGTCGCATGGCAGCAGCAAACAGCGTGGGTCTGGAGTCAGAGAGACCTGGATTTATGCCTGGTTTTGCCACTTACAAACTGGATGACCTTGGCCATGTTATTTCACCTTTCTGAGCACCAGCTTTCTCATCTGTAAAATGGGGCTAATAATTAATTCCTTTTTTTCACCTATACAATGTAGATATAAAAAGCCCCAATTTCACTGAGTTTTGTTTAAAAAAATGATATAAGTACAAAGAATTATACTAGGCACAGTATATAGGTAATAGATGTGGTATCCACCCAGATCAGTTATCTTTGTCTAGAACAATATCTGTAGGCAGCATTTAACTAAGGATATTATCCTAATAACAAAAGTAATTTTTTTTCAGAATGACACGTTCTGAGTTGAAATCATGAGGAATCACGTTTCTCTTGCCGTATAATAGTTCATGTCTCCCTACATAACAATCCAAAAGAATACGTACTGGTATATTTGACCAGCAACGGCTACTTTTCCCTCACTCATAAGAAGCTGATAAACACATTCACCACTGAAGTTGATCACGATTGTCTTTCCTCAAGATTCGGAGATTTCCCTTCTTTAAGCCTCTTGCTGCTCTCATCTTGTAAGTCAGCGCTGGTATTGACTGGTAAGTGCGCTTGTATCTAGGCTCTTGCCCTCTGCCGACGTGGGCATTCAGTGTTTAAGTATAATCTTTAGCAATTGACACCCTTGGGGATTTGCTTTTGTAGTATACTTCTCAAAATGTTAGACAAGTGCTTTATTTTTCCAACCAGCGCTGGCTGTGATCCTGTGTCTCTAACTTGTGCTGCCAGTCACAGGAGATAAACAATTTGCCTGATGAGATGAAGGCAGGGAACTTTTAAAGAAGAGTCACTTCTTAGTGGCTTCTTGATCTAGAAATGGACCTTCTCGCTCCCCTCCTTGCCCAGTAGTTAGCACAGTCTGAGCACCATCACAATCTCTGTTCAGTTTCTTACACCCACAATGGAGTAGCCTTCATATTGACAGTTTCCTCTGCTTGAAATGTACTACTGACCCTTCTTTATCTCCTAAACTCGTTAATCAACTCAAACTCACTTTCTCTGTGAAAACTTTCTAGAACCTCCAGGAAGGATTTTTCTGCCTTGAGAGCTTCTCACTTGGCATTGCTATAGAGAAATGATCACAGTGTGCAGTCATCATGTGTTCACCCAGTCTTCTAGCTCTCTCTAGTCAACAGGATCCCTAGACAGGGACCTAGTCTACTTCACCTTAGAACTCACCAAATCTGACCCAGAATGTAATTGACATGGGTATGCTTTCTTATCCAATGAATGAATGAGTGAAGCCAAGGTTCAGAAATGAAGAGTATTAAACTTAAATTTGCTAGGTAAATAACTTCTGTGATCAAATATATATTATAAAAATGAAATGTAGAGAAAATGTTACATACACTACTGAAATTGTGTGTTGTGGTTATTTCATTTTCTGAGGATCTGTGAGCTATTTTAGGAATGTTTCAAAAATTATTTTTTGGTTTAAAAATATTTGTTTATTCTTGAGTTCCTTCATTCAATAATTGTTTATTGCAAACTATACATTAGATAACATCATACTATTAATTCAGATTTTATATGCTATTATCAACATATTAACCTGAAAATATTAATAAAATGCATCATATTCTGCTGCTTAAGATAATAGTGGAAAAGCATTGTGCTTTAGGGCTTGTGGAGAAAAGAACTGGTTCAGGTTAACTGTCTTTGTTTACTGTGGCTGTGTCTGGCATAGCTTTGATATACTTTAAAATTATTTTGAATAATGTTGAAAATATAAATCTAGTGGGTTCTGTAAAAAAGTAGAATCTTTCATTACAGGCTCTTTTTATTAATTTTTTTGAATTTTATTTTCTTAAATCATATCCAGGTGAAAACTATATTAGCCAAATGGATGAAAAAAATTAACAGAGTAGAGGTTTTTGAATGAGTAAAAATATTTAACATGAGAAAATTAGTACTGCACATATAAGGAAAATGTGGACATTGTCCTCTCACTGTGGACACTGCTACTATGATGGAATCATATTTCTTGATTAATAACTTATATGGATCTGAAATTTAATGCTAAGTAGTGAATGAAAAATCTTTTTCTCATGCAGAGACACTTAAACATGAAACAAATGTTGACCAAACTGAGTTCAAACAAAAACAAGTTGAGCACAAACTGAACGCAGCATTTAAAAAGTTGCATTGCCCATACTGTTAAAAGCATAGTTTTTTAAACTGTATTTCTTATTTCTTTTTATGTACATTTAGTTTTTCAATACGTTGATTTATTAAACATATATCTCAGTGTGATTTGTTTATAAATAACTGTTGAGTAAGTTAAAATGAATTTCAGAGATAAGGAAAAAATACTGGTAACAAGTTTAATTACTAATCAATAAAAAATAAATTCATTCAGACAATTTAACTAGGATTAAGCTTCTTTTAAATTAAGATAACAGAAGTCCTTGTTATTTTTTGGAGGGGAAGTAATTAGGTTTATTTATTCATTTTTTTTTAATGGGGGAACTGGGGATTGAACCCAGGACCTCGTGCATGCGGTCTCCACTGAGCTATATCCCCACTCCCTCATTATTTTAGCGTCTTTAAGGAAGTGTTTTTGTCTTTTGTTTAAGGATTGCCTATGCTAATTAAGTGGTGCTGATTTTGGTTACTTTATCAACACACAGTGCTCTGCCCATTAGATCATTTTGTTGACTGTTTGGATTTTAGCCAGATTTGCCACTGAGTATACAAAGGGGGAAACTTTACAGTTAAGAAACACTCGGTATGGGTTTTCGCTGTGTCGACAGGGATGATTTCTGTCCAGGTCCTTTGCGGCTGAGTTGCAAAAAGAACTTCACTAACATTGACTGAATGCAATCCTAGGCACTCTTCCAAGCAATCATCTGCATGATTTCATTCACTACTCATAGCAAAGCTATTAAGGGGACTTTTTTTTTTTGACAGAAGAAACTGGGGTACACAGACATTAACTTGCACGACATCACACGAATAGAGGGAGGGGCGCCAAGGATTCAAATGCGCAGTTTGTGCAAACGTCACTATTGTACTATTCTGTCCCATCTGTCAGTGCACTCTTCCATCAGTACACTACT